GTTTTAATAATACATTTTGTAATTTACTGTGAAGGGTTTAAATGATCAGTTGTTTACTTGCAGTATTGTAATAATGTATTTACATGAGTGTAACTTCATGATTTTTATGATACTATCGATGATTCATTTTCTACTTGTTTACTTATTATATTTATCTATATTTTTTATATTAATTATTCGTATTTGTACTTTTGTATTTAGTCACCGAACAATAGATCGGACCGAACAATAGATTGGACAACCGATTTGGTAGTCAAACAGACACAGTTAAAACAAATAAAGGTTGAGATTGCTTAACTGATGGTCGCATTGTTACCTTGTTCGAGTTTGTGTGAATGACCAAAGACGCCCTCTACACCCCAAACTGGCTCCGAGCCCAAGAGCAGTTACAATAATAATAATATAAATCGGTCAGAAAGTTGCCAATCTTGTACTTTTGTATACTGTATTACAGTATAGTATTAGGACATAGGCAATGAGTGCAAACGTATTTATAAAATAAACACCTGCTTATATTATACGAACCTAAATTTTAAAAATGTATCATGAATAGGTTCTTAGTGCAGCATGTGAGTTTCTTAATCAACTTTAAGTGGGTGTTATAGTATTGGTAACTATAATAGAAGATATAAATAATAAATATAAAAATAAAAATAATATACCAATAATAATATATCTATTATAAGAAATGTTCAATCATATGGTGCAAACATTTACAAATTAAAATAATAATAATAATAATAATAATAATAATAATAATAATAATATAAATTGGTCAGAAAGTTGTCAATCTTGTACTTTTGACGTGCAGATTGCGCATAGTTATGTACTTTTAAACAACAATTTATACATTTTACAGTTTATCCTAAACGTATACAAGTAAGCTATATACATTTCATTTTACTTTCTCTTTCGTGTTCAATAGTTTTGTAACGGTCACGCACATGAATTAGCCTAATTTATGTAGGCAAATAATCAATTATCTTGTATGACAAAATAATTTGTCTTTATGTTTATTGAATCTATCATTACATAATTACAAAGTGGACAATATTCGTTTAGTTTCAATTGTGTTTTACAGAAATAAAAAAATACATGCTAATTTTCTCTAAATAAATGGCATGTTAATCAGCTTTTATTTTCTCTTTTGTGTAGGCCTATATAATGATCGATTTTCCGGTATTATAAGTATGGCCAGTATGTATATAGACAGGGACACATCGATGAATGTAACAGTAGAAAATATGTTAACTACACCTATTAGACCAGGCTATAATTGAGATAGGTGCCACTTGGAGAGGTAGAAATTCTCATATGGTTTTTCTAGACCAGATTTTTATGGGGAATCAGAATATGTGAAGTAAAAGGGGCGTAACCTGAGAACTTTCGCGTGAGGGCGCTTTTTTCAAAATGGCCGCCAAAATCCAATAAACTGCATATATATGGGTAAAATAAGCACAGAAGGTGTAGGTTTGACTAAATTTCGAATATGTAATGATAGGAGTAAATTATAATTAGCTAAAGTTATTAATGTGAAGATTTCGAGAGGCAAATGAGGGCGCTTTTTAAAATGGCCGCCAAAATTAAACAACTTAACAGCAGCTTCAATACCCTAAATAAATTTGTGTAATTTACAAATCATGAAAGAAATAACTGCTGTTGACTTTTTAAACCCAAAATAACATATTTAGGGTGGTAAGCTAACTCACTTTTGGAAATGTAAGTAAAAATGCCCCCTTATATTAACCCTTTTCTGTTTTGAAGAATGGAAAATATCACCAGAATCCTAAAAAAATTCCAGTTTCCTTACAAATATACTGTTGTCTTTCATAAAAACACAAGGTATTCCAGAGGACCACACAAATAACTACTATAACTTGCATGTATAAAGGCATTAATTCATTTATTACATAATTGTCCTTTACTGTGTAACCCTATGTTGAGTTAATCTTCATTAATAAAAATAATATTAAAATAATATTAATATTAAATTAATATTTTGAGATCAAGTGTTTTGTGAGCCCAGCTCACAAAACACTTGATCTCAAAATATTAATACTAATAATAACTATTAATTATCTCTGTTTTTCATTTTGTTTTAGTTAAATCAATTTATTTTAAATTTACTTTTTTTGTATATATTTATATTGTATTGTCATTGTATTTGTTTTTGATGATGGAGTAAGAGAAGTTTACTGTTTGGGCTTATGCCTATTACTTACTCCTGGCAAGAATATTGTATGTATACTTTTTACTCTGCCGAATAAATATTATTATTATTATTATTATCATTATTATTATTATTATTATTATTGTTTGCTAATATCACTGCAATATGAAAGTCTTCGTCTTTATTATAATCAGTTCTTGGACGTCCATGGGCATCACTGTCTCAATCATTTTTTGCTTCAGTTGATCATTCCATCTGTTGTGAATACTATTTTTA